ACTATCTATCATTAAATACAATGCAAAAAATAAGCTTAATAACAATTAAAACGTGGTTCAGATGTGCCGGAAAATTTTTGTCTGTTGTAGGTACTTGTATATTTTGTATGTGTCTCTTGGACCACTTTTGAAATCCTGCATAGACTATATAGAAAGTTAAAACGAATAGTATCATAAATTAGTACATTCATATGCTAGATTTTTAGAATAAATCTATGTGTGACCGGATATTTGAGACATTTAACATTATCTAGTAAACTTCTTATTTTTAGTGCAGATTTAAATCCTGTCCGAAACCTGGACTGAGTGGATTTTTTAATAGTAAAATTATCTTTACATGTAAAATAAATCTAATTAGTTATAGAAAACAGTTTTTTTATTTGTGCTTCAGTTTGTCAATCTACCTACCGACGAAGTTAATTGTGCATGGCAAAAGACGAACCTAAATTCTCCAAGTTTCAAATTTTGTTATCTAATCTAATGAAGGATATTCAACACTGGGATCATTGTTCTAGTTTTAAATAGGAATACCAATGCATTAAAATAAAAATACCCGATATCAAGTATCACAATTTATATAAAGCGAGTATGACACCCGTCGCGTTATTCAACATAATATTACTAATACCCAAATTAAAACGCCAATGATACATCTGTAATACTTGCGCCACGAAGCTTTGAATGCCTTATTGCGATAAAATTAGCTTCTGAATTTTCTGTTATAAAAGCGTACTAAAACCCCTTTGATGTGTTTCGAAAATTCGCCAGTCAAGGTATTGTCCAGCGTCTCAAATTATCTTTATATAACTTCTATGACAGAGAAACAAAAATAATAAGAAAAAAGAGAATGCAATCAAACCTCTTTATGATTTTCTTAATATCCCTTTAGTAGGTACTATATTATAATATACTATTATAACTTTTTCGTAACTGTAGACGCTTATGACTTCCCATACCTGTGTTTTTCATGATCATCGAGTAAGAGTAAATAGAGGAAAGTGTGGAAGATGCACAGCCGAATAAACTGGCTAACGATACAGCATTAAAAAGGTCAAGATCAAAAGTTTAAATACAAATTGCACACACGTTCTAAGTTTAAATCCTGCTCAGCCTTAAAAATTGAGCGATATAATTTTGTTCTTGGTCATAATCGCGAATTGGGGGGGTCTACAATAAAACCGTTACGAGCGGGAGCGTGCGCAGACAGTTAACACGTAATCACGTAATCCAATTTGCGAGCGGCCGACATCGGCGAAGAATGTTAAAACCGCCCGCCCTCAACAAAATTAGCTACACCCTCAACATTTTATTTTGCATTGGAAACAAATTTTGATTTTACCGTTTAATATTGAGGTATTGGTGAACAATTGAATGGTTTCTATACTTCAATGTGATAGCCTTCAAAAGCTACGATAGCGAAATAATTCCGAAATTTTTGATTAATTAGCAACGCAACCGTGAGGTTAGAGCGACTACTATTTTGTCAATTTTTAAAAAAATAAGACACATTGTTCGTTTGCTTACATTACAATTTTTGATAAAATTATATTAAAAACATAATAATGTAAGAAATCGTTAACTACAGAGCTGTTGTCTTGTTATATAGGCGTAAAATTAATAACTTACCTACTTGCGTAACAATTAAATAAGTGCACCAAAAGAAAGTATATATACGGCAATATTCTAAAAAGATCATTTTTGTTGCGCTAATGATTTTTAAAAAGTCGTATAAATAGTAATAATGTCTCGATAATGGCCCACGGATATTTTAATAAATTGATTTAATCTCTACGCCGATTTGCCCCAAGAGGCTCAAATTGTTCCAGAAACAAGGTTCACTTTAATAAGACAGTAGGACGTGATAAAAATATCTATTCCAGCGAATGAGAGGCTACAGTCACGTAAGGCTCAAGAAAAATTGACGGCTCTAACTATATTGGCTTTCATTTAAATAACTGATCAAACTGACGCTGTCAAACAATAACTGGAGGCCAACTTATTGGATATGCCGAGCTCATCCGGTCGACTTATATTGGATGCGAAAATTGTGCCTCGCAACTTTTGAAATGACATTCGAGTTTTTTCATGGGGTTCAGTCGGGATCTGTGCTTTTAAGATGGAAATGAAGCTGCATTTTTTATTCATTTATAAGCGATACATACTAGTCTTAAATTGATATAAAGAAGCAAAATACAAATTAATTTTGACAATCAAAAGCTTTATATATTAGATACAACTTGTGATATAAAATCGGCAGGTGAGCTACACAGTTAATATTTAACATAATTCAAGGTCTAAAAGAAGAAATAAAAAGAGCAAAAGAGATTTTTATAAAGCAAGAGCGCGTGGGGTGCGAATATAATGAATAAATTCCGCGTAAGGGCCCCTCCTAACGCAATTGAAAACTTTTAACAAGTGCCGAGAAATCGTGTGTAAAGGTCGGTCGCACCTAATTACGAGTCTAGCTGTACGGAATACGGGATGAGTTGAGAAATTTAAACGCCGCCGCCCGCCATCCGGGCCTCTTTATGAAAATCAGCTTGTTAATAAAATCTTGCCGTGTTGACCGATGTCTCGACAGGACTGGATGGGCCAAGTAAATGGGACGAACGTAACGAAGTAGATTTTTCGTTTACTCTTCTGATAAATGGGTCCCATGTTTAAGCAAAACTGCATTTTTATAACAAGTTTCTAAATCCAATAACTCGTATTTTTAAGGAGTTTTGAGATTGGAGGCTCATCCAAATCTTACTTTCACAATCTTTGATGTGATCGATGGTCAGTAAAAATAGATGGCTAATGCCCACGCCCCAGGATTATTTTATGAATAAATCCGGTTAATAATAATCGATCAAACAACAAGGCTTCCACGTGCCAATCCTAACTTAACAAAAGCGGAACGCCGATATTAAATTTCAGTGAATTTTAAAAGTGTGTAAAATCAAGTTCTCATTTCCCCCATTAACTCCGCAGCTTTCTAGTTTACAAGCATTAAAATTAACAGTTTTTTTCCATAGCTTGTCCACCGTCTGCTGAAGACGTATTCATTCTTTTGTAACCCTAAAAACAAGTCATTACCGAAGCGGGTTTAATCTAGCGTTGTATTCTCAGAATTTTTTCGTGGTGTTCTATTATTTGGGAGCGATCGCTCGGCACGCCGCGACGGGCACCGTTTACGCTAAAATGATATGATTAATTACTGGGACCGGTCTCCCTCATTAGCGAACAAATAGGATCATTCATTGGTGAAATTGAATCAGGAGCTCCGGCGAACCGCGCTCAATCCTAGTCTAATCATAATTATTATTATTCATACCAATAAAATGGATCTCGTTTTCAATAGTTTGCTGCAAAAGTAAACAGCCACGTTTATTATTTTACAAATTCCCCCCAAAAACATTCTGGGAAATTACAAAAGTTTCTAGTGTTCAAGGATTGTTTTGTTACACAATAATATATTTACCACAACTGCGTACAAAAGACGGACAGTGTAAAAACTGTAGGTGCTAGATTTTCGCGAACAAATTATTCATGGACTAATATAATTTGCAAAAAAATACTATTGGATGGTATCACCTAAATTTTTTTCTAGGCTGCTTACATAAAAAGAGATAGCATCACGTCTCATAATCCACGTACAATGAAACATAAACATGAGTGACGTAGTTATCTTTTGTAACACCAGTGTCGTAAAGCAGAATGACGTAGGGAATTCTCGCCTAAGGAATTTTGGAGAACGCAGAGACAAGATTTTATTACCAATGCTAAAATATGAATTTATGGTAAAGTTATTAATCAATATTTTCTTCTTTATATGATTATATTAAAAAATAATAATTTAATTCAATCCTCATCGTTATTTTCGTAAAAGTTATTTTTTGTCATCATAATTGTATACAACAACTTCATTTTTATTCTTATTTTTTATACAAAATTGGGTATTATCTTGATGAATATGTATACCATTTTTCCTAATTTAAGCACATATTTCAAACCCAAGTTTACATAGGATTTAGAAAATACTATGCCAAGCCTAGATAATACCAAGTATCTAGATTAAGAGGTCCAAAAATATAATATTGCAGAATGACGGCGCGGTGAAATATGTGTTCTTCCGAAAAACTTCTAGTTGAATACCCCTAAATACGGATGAAGGAGGTCAGATAGCCATTTTCACGAAACAACAGAGTTCCAGTTTTGTTGGTGGCGATACACGGCAACTTATCGGACACTAGCGAAACTTTCCGTAGATTATCGCTGATATTTCGTGGATTTATTGCCCCATGCTATTGTTAACCGTTCGCTAATATTTCAGCGCCGAGAAAAGGCTTTGTTCACATTTTTAAGTTTGAGAAACTGCTCTTCGTAGTTCAAAGAAAGTCAGCTTTTGAAATTTGCTTTCTATTCTTTTTATGTTTGGTCCAACATACATTATCTGATTTTCAATAATTTCAGTCGCTTCTCTGGCCACTTGAACTAGACTTGAACCCTCTTATTAATAAATGAAGATTAAGCTTTGATTAGGTACTCTATGTTTTGTCTTTGTCTATTTAATGACAAATAGCACTTGAGTGATATGAACAAAACACGGCGTAACTAGTCTAAGCTTATTCTTCGTTTATTAATAAGGGGATATGTGTTTATATTGATTACATACAATGTCTTATCTTTAATACGTACTTTGATACCTATTTGGTAGGTTATCAATCAGGAACAATTAAAATGTATATATATATAATTGTTATACTGACCTTTTATTTCAACCGCAATGTGCCACACGTGTATCCCGCGCCCCCTTTAGGTCCAACAATAATTCTGATTACAAAACCCTATCTATATCACAAGCTTCCACCTAGCTTAGCACTAAAGCCTACACTAACACAATTGACACTTCAACAACGATTGGTAACAGTCCACTTAATTAAACGCTAAATAAAAATCTAACATTAGTTAACATGATAAAATGAACAAAAAAAAATCTCGACTACAATGCGAAAGTAGGTAGGTACATAACAAAAAACAAAATAAAAATTTATAATCTTAAACAGTAAGTTCGCGTCACTATTTACATTAGGAAAGTCGCGTCGATTTTGACAACCTGTAATTAGGTATCGAGTCCAAAAGTGTGCGGGGTTTAGTTCAGTGGACCCAAGAGGGGGCGGCGGAGTAGGAGGTGCGGGGAGCACCTCCCCCCGAGAGAGTGGTAGGGACTGGCGGCGCGGGCGCAGCGAAGTGGCTCTCAGCTTCGGCCGCCATGGCTGTGTGCTGCTGCGGGAAGTTGAAGTCTAAGGAGCCATCCATGCTCAGCTCGTGCTTTATGACCTGATGATGACAATGTGCAAACTATAAATTCAAATCTACCCAGACATTTCTTAAAAATTCAAAATAAGTGGTTAAATCTTTAAACATGAGGATTATAGAGGAAATATTCAAATTAGCGCGCTTTCTAACCTGTTAAGAGTTTTGTGTTTACCACCATTTTACACGTCACAGTCTAGTGTACCTAATACGATACACACACTATGGTTCACTCAAGTTTGTAAACCTTACTTTATTTTATGCCACCCCATCAGATTTAAAAAGAAAGTGGAGCTCAGTTATGGAGATAACTGATGCGGCAGAAAAGTGCCACTCGTGCCATTCTCGCCTTGCTGGCTCAAACCCAATCTCCAAACCCCATGGAATTCTACTACTAATACCTATTTCTACCTAAAAGTGATGTTTTTGTATTGTGTACTTCTGTAAAATGGAGGTTACTTCCCCAGACGCTGTTCCAATCTATGGGAACACCGCTATTACCTGCCTCTATTTAACGCTTTTTTTTTTTTTATAGATAGGTCCGACAAATGACTCCACCCCACCTGATGTTAAGTGGAGGTGAAGTCCAGACGCGAAGATAGCTGATACAGCAGTTCTACCTGCCACACCAGCCATCCTCACCCTGCCGGCCTGCATGTTGCTTCTTCACGCCTCTTTTAAAGGATCCCAGGTTGTAAGAGGGAGGGAACACGTGAGCGGGCAGAGCATTCCATTTACGGATAGTACGACAAAGAAATGAGTCACCAAATTTCTTTGTACGCGTTGGAATTGTAGCCACAGTTAGACGGTGACAACGTAAGCCAGCGCGCGTGGTCCTCTGAAGGAAAGGGGAAGGTGGAATAAGAGAGAATAACTCCTCAGAACACTCGCCGTGGTACAGACGATAGAACGCGCTTAGTGACGCCACGTCACGGCGTAATTGAAGAGGCTCGAGGTGTTTAGACACCTCCTCATCACCTATGATGCGTATTGCGCGCCGCTGTAACCTATCCAAAGCATCGAGCAAGTACTTGGCGGAGCCATCCCCGAGGTGCGAGCAATATTCCACGCAAGACCGAATCTGCGTCTTATATAACAAGCATAGTTGCTCGGGCGTGAAAAAACGCCGCACCTTGTTCAGGACTCCGAGTTTGCGTGAGGCTGTTTTTATCACACTTTCGATGTAATTTTTTGGATTTAAGTCACAGCGAATCTCCATACCGAGCATGGTGATACTGCTCTCTAGCTCCAGTGTTGTGCCCAGAAGAGAAGGACATAAAAGGAATGGCGACGTTTTTGCCGTGAAAGCGCAGACCTGGGTTTTCTTAGCATTGAACTCAACTAAGTTCTTGGTACCCCATTCAGAAATGTGGTCCAAAGCCTGATTGAGTTCAATGACAAGATTCTCCCGTTTCTCCTTGGTTACCGCCTGCCCAGCCGCTGCTTGTCCGAGATACCCCGCATGCACTGTACTGTCGTCTGCATAGCAATGAATATTCCCAAGAGGAATTAGGTCATTGATATGCAGCAGAAAGAGAGTGGGGGATAGGACGGAGCCCTGGGGAACGCCGGCATTCACTGACATGAACCGCGAACTGCTACCATCCGTAAGGACACGAATTCTACGCTCATGCAGGAAGTCAGCTACCCAAGAACAGAACTGGGCCGGCAGCTTTTGATGCCACAGACTAGAAAGGCAAGAAAGAATTCGACACGGCCATCAGGGCCGCGGTAGCATAATGGTCAGTGCATTCGCCCGGATAGCGAAGGGTGCAAGTTCGAGTCCCGCCTGCTGCCTGGTCCACGTTCAATTTTTTCTAGTAATATTTGCTTTAGATTTAAACATCGAGCAGTTACATATTTAAAAAATAAAAATTATGATATATTTTTTTCTTTATGTTTACCTAAAAGTTACAATTGAACCTCTTATGTAAATATTGTAAATATAAAAGTTCATTACACAGTTGGAGGTTAACGGTAACAGCTGTACTAGTATAGACTGTGTTGCAGCTGTTAGCGTCTGCCTCCCTGATTTAATGCTCAAGTACATTTTATTCACGACAACAAAATGGACTGTAAACGAGTTAAAAGTTCGTTAATTGAGTAGTTTGTAGAATGATGTCTTACCTCATCTACGTTGCAGTCAAATCCATGTTCTAAAGCTTCTATATTCAAATCCTCCGCTAGACCTGTATTCAGAGCTCCCATTATTTGTCCCATTACCGTAGTGGGGCCCATGGCACCAGCCTGCACCATTAGTCCTCCATTCATTAGCGCCGCATCTGATGTCGTCACTATTTGCGTCTGACTGTTTTCTAAAAGAATAAAATAAAGTCAAAAAATTAGAAGTTCATCCGTTTGATGTAATATGATTAAATTTTCAAATACGTTAGTAAGTAACAAACAGTCAAACATCATTTGAACAATTTCATGGTAACAAACTGACCTAACAGTTCCATAACATATGAAGTAACTTATATAATAATGAACTTAATAGAAGTAGAATAACACCATAATTTGGAAAAGAAATTCATTACAACTTTTGAGCCAAATGCTACTATATGTATAATGTAATAAATGAAGGGACAAACCACCAATCCACAGTATCAATTACCAACACAGATGCTGGTCTCTGACCCAACAGACCAATACACCGGCCCTCGCTCACCGCATTACATGTTCGTCCATCAATATTCTATACATATTCAGATATAGGAAAAGCATATTATCAACGTCTCTCAAAAAAACATTGTAATACCTACAAGCCCGCCGCATGAAAGTATTTCCAGCATAATTAGTATGAGAAGGTGAAATATGAAATATACATTTAGAACGTGAGGAGGTCCGTGGTATAGTAAATTCAATTCAGTTCTAATAAACGGGCCGAATCTATTCTATTACTTATAATTTTGTATAGAAAATTTTGATCCTATTTGGATCATCTTCTCTGTCACTCTTTTCTAATGAACTTATTTTGTGCCTCTGTGATACAGTTTGGTAATCTACGAAATTATTTCCAGTTCGATATTCTAGTGACTTTAAAAAAATATTTTGTATTTTTGCTATACGAGCTTTATTCATATTATAAATAGGATTCCAGATAATACTGCCAAACTCCAATATGCTACGAACAAAGGAGAATTTTGTATGAACGAGCGTTTTTGAACGGTTGAGCAAGACGAAGAATCATACCAAGTTGTTTATAAGCTTTCGAATTAATTTTGTTAATATGAGGGTTAAATAGGGTGATTTCGTATACACGTTTAATTTTATTATTTGATAAAGTTTCATTAAATCTAATGAGGTTAAGTTTACGTGTAAAGGTTAGTAAATTGCATTTATCAGTGTTTAAAAGAAGTTGTTTTTTATTACAAAAGTGCGCAAATCGTTGCAGGTCTGACTGAAAATGAAGGCAATCGTCTTGTGAAGTAATAATTTTACAATTTTTTGTATGATCTGCGTATAGCAGATGAGATGAATTCTTGAAGCAACTGTCTACGTCATTTATATATATTATAAATAAATAGGGACCCAGTTGCGAGCCCTGGAGAGAATACCTGACGGGACATTAAGAAATCTGGATACAAAACCCTTCAAAGCAACTGCCTGGCTGCGATTGGTAATATAGGAACTCAACCACCGCAGTAAGTCAACGTTTATACTGAAATTCGACAATTTAATAATTTAATTTTAATTTATTTATTAGAACGGAATGATTAATTTTATCAAAAGCTTTTGAATAATCGGTCAACCTGGTATCCTGAGTAAAAAACAAATTAGGAGAAAGTCTACATATAACGACAAGTTTGTCTCTACATTTCGCCCTTTATAAAACCCGTGTTTCTGATGTGATATATGCCGCGACAATAATGAAGATAATTAACTAGTGCCTATTTTTTCAAATATTTTGCCAAGAACGCATAATTTAGAAATCGATCAATACTAATCCACGTCATGCTTATTACTCCCTTTAAAAATAGGAGTAATAAGGTTTTTTTTCATATCTCTGGAAAGCACCCTTCCATCCATGATTTTCTGAAAATTATATAATCTGGAAGTGACGACGTCGACGGATAATTTAGAAATAAATATAGGGTGTAGGCCGTCAACACCAACTCCTTTATTAATGTTAACTTTCTTTACTTAAATGTTTTTTTTTTAATTAAATCAAGAGTAATGTGAATTTCTGATACGTGAACACCCGTGCGGGTGTCGCGGGCAACCGCCGTACGTGTATTGGTAACTGCCGCCGGATGACGACAACGATGATGCAAATTAAAAAAATATGTTTGCCTGGATCTATACCTGTTTGCATGATGTCAGCTGGGTCCGCCGGTGGAGGCGGCCGCACGAAGTGGTCGAGCGCGTGCTGGTGCGGATGCGTCGGGTGAGCGGGATGCGCGGGGTGCGAGTACAGCGACGCGCACGCGCAACCCCCGTGCGGGTGTCGCGGGCAACCGCCGTACGTGTACCGATAACTGCCGCCGGATGACGACGAAGACGTCGTCGGTACGTATCTGAATCGAAACCTGACCCTATAACATCTACATGTAGTAGTAACATTTTCCTTTACTTTATTTCTTCAGAGGTTCCACTTACGAAGAAGACACACTTTCGGAATAAGTAAGAAAGGATTTTAGAAGTGTAGTGTAGGCGTGCAATTTTTCAAAGGCAGTCTCACACTTCGGTACAGTTTAAATTGAGATGTACGAGTGATAGTTACCATTTGTATCATAAACACGGACTAAGGCGACTTATTATATAAAAGAAAGAAAATCAATACACCTTGAGCTTTGAAGCTTTAGAGGATAAAGAAAGTTCTTTGAATGTATATATATATATATCTACCGTACTTACTTATATTATTTGTGCATTTTATTTCGAAATAATACCTTGTCATACTTTTGTATTTAGAGGCTAAGATAGTACAATAAGTACAGCTTAATAATATCCCATGGCGTAGGTATCAAGCTTTTATCAATGTTTCTAATAAGCAAAGCATTCTAATGATTAATATACGACACTATCCACGTCTAGACTGAACGAACGAAGCAGGAAGCGCTTCAAAATATATTTAAATTCTAGATAGACTAAATGCAAATTTTCGTGCGATACGAATATTTGATTCCTTCAGCATGTCAAACCATAAACTTACGTGGTAAGGAATGGATCGGCGCCTTGCAGTTTCATGGAATCAGCTAAGGAGCCAGCCAACTGTTCCTCTTGGGCGTAGTCGACCGATTGAGTGAATTCGCTATTGGTAGCGAAGTCTCCAGCGCCGTATTCAGCGGCCCAGTCTGGCTCCGTGGCAATCAGAGATGGAATAGGAGATAGCCGCCCGCATGAAGACGCGTTTGAGGGTGCTCTCTGACGGAAGTCCGGCGACAACTGGAAACTGTTGCTACGCGCAAGCAAACAAGCGCAAAATTCAGAATGAGCCTCAAAATTAACGCAAGACTTCGTGACCACGAAACATCATGGCACAATGTTCAATGTTACCTGACAATGGTCACACATCGTAGCGTCAATCGTCGAGGGGCAAATAATTGAAATTTATAGCAGAAATAAAACTTAAAGCTAGTTTATCTAGAATCATCACTATATACGATATAACACGAAATGTAATGGGTAACATGCAAATCTAATGTCTATTTGGAGGCCCTCTAACATATATAGAATGCTAAATGAAGCGATCACCATAACGGGTTCAATGGTCAGCTCAGAAATATTTTTATTGTTACAAACAATGACAAAATTGTTCTATAAGATATGTGATGTCGGTTTGTTCTTCGAGCGTTCGTTGTCGATAGTCCAAAATAAAAGTTATGTCCGTAATCCCGATAGGATATTCGGCAATAAAAACGTTAAATATCAGCGAAATGACGAGACTCAGCATTCACATAACTCATCATCTAATGGTTGTGAATGATTTAAAACCTTTTATCATAAAGTAGCAGTTTTGCAATAACTCAATTTTATTAGTCTGGTCAACGAAGCTTTATGCCAATAGTTTTATTATAGCCACTGTATCATTGTACCTCACATTGTTTCGAGCACACATAAAATTTCAATATTTCTGTAAATGCAGACTGTTTAAGAATACATCGGAATATTTGCGGCACTGGCAAACTTGCCACTGTATTACCCGTATAGGTGAGTTATTATGTCTTTAAAGTCGAATTAGTATCGCTATCCACTATATCCGTTTTGGTTGACATTGTTGGCTGGATGCCATAGTTTTCTTAAGCTTACATTCATCTGTGGCTTTAAACTGACCCAGGAACTTTCGCGATACATACTAATAAACTAAATTTCTATGCTAAGCCTATTGGTCGATAAAATTGAGTATAATTTGTTAAATTTACCTATGAAGAGGTGATTCAGGGAACATATCGAGACTTTCTGAGACTGAACTGCTGGGGCTTGGAGTTGCGTCAGCTGTTACTCCATTCCGTAAAGCTTCCGCCTGTAAATGAAATATAAAATAAACATAACAGAAAAAGGAAAAAATAAATATTCCAGATATTTATTTTACTCTGAGTATTCAGGCCCCAATTTTTGTATTACATATATTATATTTTTGTTTTTAATTCATGAAAGAACTTTAGTGCAAGTGGACTTGGATCTTACGTGGATACAGGTGGATGAAAATCAATTGTTTATTTGGTGTAAGGGAATTGTCTGTAAACGCTTCACACTTGTGTAGCTCGTGTAGCGCGACATTTTTTTACATAAACTGAAACTTAAAATAACCTGTATTTAGTGCAACTTGTCGTGATTGGCGACCTAGTACAATATTAATTTGCGTGTTGTGCAATATCGCACTTATAGAACAAATAAATATAAAAAGTGGGTTGTTGTCGATTGACTGTGAAATCGACAGGTTGGGCGTATCTACAATGCATAGATACCTGACAATATATATTTTTATATTTGGTAGTTCTAAGGAAAAAAGGAAGGGAGACCCACGTTTTATTCATAAAATGAATATTCAGAAATGCGCGTATAAACATATGCTAAAACCTGTCGTTAGAATGGGGATTGGGGATTAAAAACTTTCCTGGAAGTTTTGTCTTATACAGTTGCACATTTGACGTGTCGCAGCGCATACCTTCTTTTTGACTCGTCCTCTTCGTTTTTCAAACTTGGAGGTTTCCATGGAAGCTGCTCGTCTCCTGACTGACTTGCCCGGTTTCGCGTCAGGGTTTATCATCCACCAGGACGACTTCCCTGTTCCCTCGTTCTGCACCCGCATGAACCGGTTGTGAAGCGACAGGTTGTGTCGAATCGAATTCTGAAAGAGACAGTCATTTGTTAGTCACTCATTCTCAATTTTTACAAGATAAAATATTTTTGATGTAGCTTAATAACGATTTCCTTTACAGATTTTTCAAAGGCATCTAGTTAGGGTTAACATTCAAGTAAATGTTATGTTCTTTTTTAGTTCTTGTTCTGAGGTAATCAGTTTAGTTTAAAATTTCATAGTCTTAAAGCATTATATTCATGACATTCAAAATATTTAGTCCTTTTTTATTTTGTAATCTTTAAAATGAAGTTAATTATAACAGTTACAAAATAGTAAATGGCTTTTTAACTTATTTGCGAGTGTGGTAGGATTCCGCGGTGTAGTTAAATATAGCCAGTCGTAAAACGGCGCACCTCGCATCCGGGCGTCCCACCTCTCCACGACCACAAAAAAATCTATTTTAATTCCATCCAGCGTGCAAAGTTAGTGCAATAACGTGTCCTATCTCACACCGGCAATAAAATCTCACAACTTTCGCCCGTCGAAGGAATAAAAGCGACCGCAGGAACGAATGAAGTTTAGCAATAAAAGAGTCCATAAATAATTTCTGCGTGCCCACTGAGAAACGCCACTTACGTATCGCGTCATGTAAATATGTATGTAAGTAAAACACTTGAACGAAAAATCTGCTTTCATAGCTGGTTTAAGAGGTTTTCAAATGTTCGATTTAGTAGATACGTTTCTTCTGAGTTATCGGTTTTGATGGGTTGTCCGTGTTTGACACGTGTACGAGGTTACCGACATCATTGTACCTGGTCAGACTGGCTGAAACATAGCAAAGTCGAATTTAAGAATTTGATTTTCAAATTTCGAATACACTTTCAGTTATTTCAATTCGGCCTCGTCGATGCCTTCGCAATCCTATCAGTGAAACCACCGCTATCAACAACAAAAACAAAATCGAGAGATGTGGTATTTATTTTAGTCGATTTTTAACACTGTCGCTTCATAAAAAATAAAAATTCCGAAAATGTACGATACCTACACCAAAGTATAAAAATAAAATTTTATAGCTTCTTATAATGAACACTAAATGTCAACCACTTCACTTCCAACGTATGATCAACCCAAATCTAAATTTAATATGAGTTCTTTAAGTAACTTATTTAAACCTACACCTTTTTGTCGCAAAAAAAATACCAGCTTATTAGCGATGTCCAATTAAGTTTACGTAATGTACGACAATTGAGCGTCCATAAATCGAATAAATGTGGACAAGTCTCGATTTATCAAGCGTGAAAACACACGCAACAAATGGCCTGTCGACGCTTTGATGGATTTGTCGCCAACATCCCTTACCACGGATCCTGTCTGCTACAAGTATAACCGTGATAAATTAAGAAGCACAACATAATATACTGACACATAAATAACAATTTATGCATCTCAACATGGTTCCAAATCACAAACGACAATGTCATCCTAATCCTTTTGTTTGACGGAAATGTCAATCAAAAGGATATCAATCCAGAATAACGTTTAGTTTCACATAGGTACTACTACATAATAATGTGTATGCGCATAAAAAACACAAGGTACTATAATCGTCAAACTTTTTTATAAACATAAATTAATTATATTTATAGCCGAACTGCTTATTTTATCCATATTATTAAAAAAGAGAACGATATTTTTCAAAAACTTGACGGGCATTTTATTGTTTGTCATGAAACAAAACGCATATGCCATGTTTTCGTTCTTCTCCTAACGGAAACAGTAGATACAAATTATTTTAATATTTATTTCGTATCCGCCGCTTTTACAAAGTAATAATTAAATCGGTACGAGAAAAAAAGTCGTATATATTTTTTCATAAATTTAATATTACTGTATATGGTGGGTCAGAATCTGTCATTGTCATTTAATGCTCTGTTCATTGTTTCAAGCTTAGATTTCTGGATGATTCAGATAGCTCGACAGCTTCGTAATTATATGTAAGAACAGAAATATCAAGTACAAATCAAGAAAGGGGCTAGCGGATATTCCGCTCAAAGTAAAACTGCCTGTCTGAGGAAGAACCTTTATCTTACGATAGATCACAGTGTAATAACAGTAGGTAATGTTGTATTTCTGCTGGAAAGTCCGGTTTGTAAGGTTTCAGTATACGTAACGTTATGTATTCAGGGTATGCAAAGCACGGATCTTCCTCTGGTTTCGCAAACGTCTATACTATAGACGAGACATTGACTCTATAGGCTGTTTTGGCTGCTAACCACCAGGAGGGCCAACTGCATATGCCGCTAAATAAAACATACATTATGCTTATTTTCTACATAAGAACTTTGTGATAAGACATGAGCATGTACGGCAGTTTTATATCCAATAAACTTTGTACCTCCTTGTCTCTCTGTCTTCATAGCATCGAATTTATGGGCATAGCATTAATATTTATCTGTGAATTTGTTCCTGGCATAATTTCGGTAATATAATTTATAGTCACCAATAGATATATAGTTTGCTGACTGGCAGATGAACATAATCGAATTTTCTGCGACTGTGACGTCACGTACGGTGTAGAATCTCGTAATTTACCTGTTTTTTTTTCGGGCACGGTATATATTATGGTTTATACGGCCGTATTTCTCTACGCTCCAGTGAAGATTGAACGGGTGCTGAATGCGATACTTTGTAAAGAAACAGTGCGATAAAAAGTCTTCCTGGAAGTGACATGCTCAGCTTGCCAGGTAAAATAACCACGAGGGATAATTTATCCCTTTTTTAAAATTAATATTTTCTTTAAGTTGTGATTTGAAAAGATATATTGTTTATCATTAATTAAAAATACTTTGGATGATGTGAAAAAGTGGGGTTAATAATGCCAAAGTGTTTCAAAAGAAATTTACATAGACTTTATTAAAAATCGTTTCGTTTAGTTCAATTAGTCCGTTCCAGCATCACTATGGAATATGAGCGTGGCGATATAGCGGGGGCGTCTCGGGCCGAGCAAGACACCGTACTTAGAATTTCGTCTACGGCAGGATTCCCGGCGCCAGAGCGACCCTTATGGGGTGAATTAACCGTCTACCGTCCCCTTTAATGCTCTACCAACTTAAATTCCCTCGAATTTCCACTGTTATAAAGCGTTACGCAATCTCCGAACGAATGGCTTATGATTTCCGCACTTTATGCTCAACGCTTGTTTTCCCGATTGATACGTTCATCGGAAACGTAATTGACGTTAGACAAATTGTTTCCACACCGCTTTGGTGATGGTTTAATTCTGGTGACATCGATGAATCCTGCAACTACCCAACGTTTTGGGTTTATTATATCCTTTAAATTCTCAGGGATTTGGAATAATAACAAAGCTTTATGTTTTCATTACGCGGTCAGCACCAGGTCTTACATTATAGGTAATAGCGAAATAACTGAACTTAAGGATTCACAATTAAAGCTATACCTCAAGGTCACATTTGGCATACTTTGGGCTTAAGATATTATCCAGAAACAGTAAAAAGTAGTCTCGAGAAACTTCCGGAAACATTAGTATGTGGTAGTGCATTTCACGTACAGTTCGCCGTTATCGTTATCTTGCATTTTTGGTATTAATTGCGCTCCTAGTCCTGTGTTGAATGTATTTAAAAAGTTTACAAATGTAGTTGAGTTCGACTTCAATCATAAAAAAGTAAAATAAAAATATTCTGCGTGCGTTTGATTTCTACATGTTTACTCTAACCAAAAAACCGTGTCGATTTGAGGAAATATTAGTTTCCTCATTGTCCCATTATGACGACAGAAAGAAATAAAGGTGACGTCATAAAAGTTACTAAGACCTAAACTCACTCAAAATTTTTGAATATACTAGTTAAGCTTAATTAAAGCTCATACTTAAGATTCAGGGCTGTCCATACGGAACGAGATCAATTTGGTCATAAATCTTGTAGATTTACAGCGTGTATCAATTGATTGCACAGACAGTACCACAGATTCATAATTATAACAGACAGAAGGAGATAGATAGGTTATTTAAATGAGCCGTGCGTCGACAGGTAGACATCACGCTCATAAAATAGAATCTAATAGAAGGTAAATGACCTACATTGGGTGAAATTGAGGACAAAAAAAAATATGAAAATAAAAGAAATCTTTTTTTGCATACGTATTATATTACCTCGCATATCGCTCAAAATCTCACAAAGGACAATGCTTTGCTTTACCTGCGTAAGCCGCGACGTAGAAGTTCTATGCGATATGTAAGAAGCGAGAACGGACTTACCGAAGGCTTGTTGAATAATTCAGTGCAACATTATTGACACACTGAAAAAGAGATGGATTTTAATCGTATAAAGATACGGAACGATTCTATTGAAAATTTAATAAAAGTTTAATATATTGTTTTGGATTGTTCCATATTCATCCTATGACGTCTAAACCTACTTTTAATGTTTTCCTAACTCTACGCACAAAAATGATTTCATTTTAAATTCCTTCTTTATCACATCAATATTCCTAGATCAACACATTGAAAATTGAAGTAATAAACGTAAGGTTTGTGTGTACGGTCTTAACAAAAATATTGTTTCAGTCACACTGAAATTACCTTTCTGAGATTTGCATGTCAAAGTAATAAGTTTAATTTTTTTTCTATCTCACTAAAAACCACACCCTTTGTAAGGACAACTTGGATACCTATCCTGAAATGCGTCACATCCAAATGAATGCGCATACGAACACTCAATGCGGTTATTAGATTGATGGAATTATGCAACTTACCAAACCTTGCTTACGCGTCACAACTGTATGTTTTATTTAAAACGTTTGTGTTGTAACCCTATTTGGTTTGTATTCCAATAGATTTACCTACTCAGAAACAGGAATAAACAGCTTTCGTTTTGTTTTGGTAAACTTGCACAGAGTACTACTTCAGATACTTCTTTGTAATTTGTACTGAATGTACTATAGTTGTAGAAGTATATATGTATATATTACTGAATATTTTATTTTTATTAATTTTTCGTGTTAATAGTAAGTAAGTAAGTACATACAAA